TGGAGCTGTCATTCAAAAAACCTGTAGCAGATGCCGGAATCACAACATCTTAAGGTGATATATCTTAAGATATATCTATGTATATTATAGAGATATCCCGTCCTGATCGAAGCTGGTGCTCATCTCTGATTTTTAGCTGATGGAGCCTATATTGTTCCAGAGGTGCTTCTGCCATCATGAAAATATGGAACACTGTTACCTTCCCACCAAAGTGGTACCTATTTATCTACTTGCATTTTCGTGCTTTTGAACTGCTGGATGGGCAGGAGCTGGGGCGAGGATGGGAGCTCTCTATCATGCGATGCTCAGGTCTCAAACACAGGCTGTCAGCTTTCCAGTTGACAAGCTCAGCATCTTTAACCATTGAGCCGTTGTACAGCCATAGGATATAGGATAGATACAGATATACAGATGTAGATGCATATATAGATATAGATATATAGATATAGATAGATGTATCTATATAGGATATATCTATATCCTATATCTATATAAGTTATCTACATCTGACAATGGCACTTGAGTGTCTCAGGTCAAATAACTTCAAGTACCTCCTCCCATCATTTTCTACCACAGGTAGTCCTCATTTAGCAACTATAATTGGGATCAGCAACTTGGTCAGTAGGTAAAGTGGTCACTAAGTGAAACTGACTGTGCTTATGATCTTATTTCAGGTTGTTTTTTTTTACAGGCCTACGAAGGTTGTAAATGCAAGGATTGGCCTCAAACCTAATTTTCATCACTACTATAATTGCAAATGGTTTCTAAATGGGGCAATCAATAAACAAGGACTCCTTCTAACCAGAGATGTCAGAAATTGAATCCTGGCTCTTTTCCATGTAAAATTATTTGCTAGACCAACATTTGCTAGACCAACATTTGCTAGACCAACATTCCAGGCTCAAAACCTCACTAGTCTCAATTTGAACAATTTCCAAAGATAATGTATATGCAAATTTTTTAAATGTAATATTCCAGTTGAAAAAAAGACAACTTACAATAAAGGAAGCATGAATGCAGAGGGCAGTCCCAGCACGAACCACCATATGACTCTTTAGTCTGACACTCAGATCAAACTTTGGACCAACTATACAACACAGAGAGAGGGGGGGGGAGGGAGGGGGGGGGGGGGAGAGAGGGGGGAGAGGAGGAGGGGGGGGGAGGGGGAGGGAGAGAGAGAATATATAAGATTATTCATTCATTTAGGGCAGTATTGCCAGTATTTGGATAGTAGTTTGGTCTTCCAAGTAAAATTTAGGACTTTCTGTATGCACAGCAAATAGCCTAGTAGTGAGATATTTCTCAAAAAGATGCCTGAATAAACAGTAGGGTCTATTTGTACTGTTACTACCTATTATATTCCTTCCGTTCCCATGGCAAAATTGTCAAATTAATTCAGGAAGAACCTTTAGACTATATATTCAAGGGTTATCACAACTGGTCCTCAATGCAGCACAGGTAGCTAAGGGGCAAACTAAATAAAGTTGCTGCAGGCATTACAAGTATTTTCCCCTAGATTTTCTGTGTGTATTTTTACGTATTCCTGGCCTGACCTGAATTTAATTAGAATTTGCTTGTTTGACAGGATAGAAATTTCCTTTCCATGTGGAGAGGCAAAATTATACCGAGCTTAATTTTCTATTTGAGAAACCGGAACAACTTTGAGAGAGAGAGAGAGAGAAGAAATAATGAGCAATCCTTCTTATTGATAAAGAATATTTTCCTTGAAAAATATGAATGTTTCTTTACGATTTGGAACACCATTTATTTGGATGAACCTAACATGAGAAGGAAAAAAATGAACAGAATAACAGGGTTAGAAGGGATCTGGGAGGGCTTCTAGTTCAATCTCCTGCTCTAGGAGAGACCCTATACCATTTCATACAAATGGTTGTCCAATCTCTTAGATTTGTTGACAGAATGTTTTCTGGATTTGTAAATTCCATTCATATGCTATATCATCTTCTAGATCAGGGGTCTCCAACCTTGGCAACTTTAAGGCTTGTGGACTTCAAACTCCCAGAATTGTGGACTTCAATTCTGGGAGTTGAAGTCCACAAGTCTTAAAGTTGCCAAGGTTGGAGATCCCTGATCTAGATCAAATTCCGTATCTCTCACTTTTTGCAAAAGAGTTAACATACCAGCAGTCAAGGCATGATTGTATGAAGGCTGGATTGGGTAAGTTTTACCTGGAGGGGGCATGGCCAGAACCCCTTCTTTCAGCTCAATCGGTTCTCCCACTCCAGCTTCATTGACAGCTCGGATACGGAAGAAATACTTCTGCCTCTCCTGCAGACCTCCCACGGTGTAACTCTTGCCAGAAATTGGGATCTTGGTACACTTGGACCATTCCTTGGTGCCCTCAGGTCGCATCTCCAGTATGTACCCTGAAGGTGGATCACCCTCATCAGGTTCTTGCCATGCCAATGAAATGCTGGATTGGGAAGAATCAGCCACGTGCAATCCCTTCACCTGCCCAGGAGGCTCTGGATCAACAGCAAACATTCAGTAATTAATACACAGTGTTGTAACTTATTGGGAAAAAAAGAACATGTTATTTGAATGAATGGACCATTCAAGCTTTCAAATCCAGTAGAGTTGGCAAGGTTTCTTCCTCTCAAATTCATAAGAGTCATCCAGTCCAAGCGTGTGAAGAATTGGTAAATTTACAGTTAAAACTTACTGAGCTATGCTAGTAAATGGGGGTCAGTTTATATAGGCATATTCTTGACTTGATATGTTAAAAGAATATATTATCAGACAGAAATTCAGTATTATCCCACACCAATAAAGCTCTGTGAATCTAAAAACTATTTGAAAAATTACTTTTAAAAAGATAGTGGAAAAGAACCCAAGAATGGCTTATAAATCAATGATGGCCTACATCTTCATTTTTAGATGGAAACGTAAAATAGATGCCAATGTTGCTATATTAACAGACATTCTTTAGTCAGATTCCATGGGAAAGTTGGCACGTTTTAGCAGGTGACAGGATCTTTCGTCTCCTGGAAATTTCCAAAATGGAAAAGTTACTCTTAGATGCTAGTATCTGCAGGCTCTCCCTAGCAGGAATTTTGGAAAACTAGCATACATGAACCACACAGTGTCCTTGGAAATCACCATCAGGACTATAGTATTCACCTCTTAATTTAGTTTATAACCAAATATCCTATACCTCTTGCGTCATGTTCCAATCATCACTTCTGATGGCCCACCAAGTATTGCTGAACTACAATAACCCTCAGCCCCAGCCTGCAGCCTGCAGTGATGAATGACAGCTGTTTTAATGATTGCTGAACAACTCAGTCATCTATTGTGCCTTAAACCAGGATAATAGCTATCATTAGGGGACAGAATGATCTTGGCACCATTAGTCTGAACTTGGTAGATACTTCAGAAGTCAGGTAAAATGCTTTAGGAAATATTTATTTCAGGATCCTGGAATATTTTGCCATCACTTGGCTTGTATTGTTAGTTTATTGTTATTACAAAATCACAGACTCACAATACATAGATGTTGCAGTAACTGTAATAAAGATTGATTGATAGGTGTTGCTGTATAATTGGGCCAACACCACCCTTAGGCCAGCTCAATATTATTTGAAAGAAGATCACCTAGTCACATGCTGAAATTTAAATGATTGTGACATTACAAAATGGAAATGAAGCAATCAGCAGCAAGTAACAATAAGCTGCCACAATCAAGTTCCCTGATTATCCCATTATATTTTGCTTGTATAATGAACCTCATAAACTGAATTGCACCCTCCCCCACACACCCCTCACACAAACACACCATACATATATGGTACATATTGGACACTAGAAATAAATGAAAAGTAGAACCATACTGATGGGATCTTTTGCTACAACTGAGCTGGAAGCACTGCTGGGAGCTCCTGGCCCTGCTCGGTTCACTGCTATGACGTGGAACTCATATTCCGCACCTTCCAGTAAACCATCCACTGTGCACTTAGTATCTGGCAATAAAAACAACATTTTTGAAATAATTCAGCTTTCAAAATAAATAAACAGAAGAGATTCTGAATTTTTTTAAAAAATCAAATAAACATCCCACTTAAAAAACTGGCCATAACAAAGTAGTATCTATATGCAAATATAGATGGATGATAAATGACGGTGATAGGTAGAGATAACTAGTTAGATAGAGATAGATGAAAGATAGAAAGAGATGATAGATGATTGAGAGATACAGATAGATGATAGATAGAAAGAGATGATGGAAGATAGATAGATGATAGAGATAGATAGATAGATAGATAGATAGATAGATAGATAGATAGATATTGATAGAAAGATATGATACAGATAGATGATAGAGAGATATAGATAGATGACAGATAAATAGAAAGAAAGAAATGATAGATAGGATAGAGAGATATAGATAGATATTGATAGATGATAGACATGATAGAGATTGATTGATCGATCAATAGATGATAGACATGATAGTGTTAGATAGATAGATGATAGATAGATAGATAGATAGATAGATAGATAGATAGATAGATAGATAGATAGATAGAGTTAGATGATAGAAAGATATAGATTATGTACCATCAGCTTTTAATGACCCCAAAATAGATCTCTTGCCAATTGGAAGACTCCAAGTTCTGCTGTAAGTAAGTCTATTCAATTTGCTGCTGGTCATCTCCTTTTCATTTTCCCCAGAATTATAGACTTCCAAAGAGAAGTTAGGTGTTTACCATATTTTGGACATATTATTTGTGTCCTCAACTGAGAATTATTTTATGATGCATTTTTTCTTATTTTCCTGGCCATTATCACAAACTTCTAAAGAGACAATAGTTTCTCTATTGAGCTTCTGCAAAGCCCCCAGATTTTACCTTCACGTATCATCATAGGGAAAAACAATTTATTGCACTTTTCTGATCTTTGTAAATAGAGATATTTTCTGGCACTCACCTGTTCAGGCATCTGAATATCTTTTCCATGGCTTTCATTGCTACTCTACCAAGTACAGGTAGTCCTCAATTTACCACCACAATTGACCCCAAAATTTATGCTGCTAAATGAGAAATGTGTTAAGTTAATTTTGTCCCATTTTACGACTTTTCTTGCCACATTAGTTAAGTGAATCACTGCAATTGTTAAATTAGTAACCCGGTTGTTAAGTGGCTTTCCCATTGACATTGCTTATCAGAAAGTCGCAAAAGGTGATCATGTGAACCCAGGACACTGCAAGCCAGTTAAGAAGCATCTGAATGTAAATCGTGTGACCATGATTTCCGTTGCAGATGCTGCAACAATCGTAAGTGTGAAAAATGGTCATAATCTGCAACTCTTACACTGCAAAAACATATGGATGACACAACTCGACCAGGGCAAAGCAATAGACGCAATCTACATAGACTTCTGTAAAGCCTTTGATTCAGTGGTACACGACAAACTACTCCTAAAAATAAAATCCTATGGTATCTCTGGACAACTGAATAACTTAATAGAAGCATTCCTGTCAAACAGACAACTAATGGTCAAAATCGGGAGCGTCCTATCAAATCCAGTACCTGTCAATAGTGGTGTTCCCCAAGGCAGTGTTCTAGGACCAACTCTCTTCATACTCTACATAAACGACCTCTGTGATCATGTTAAGAGCAATTGCGTTCTCTTCGCTGATGATGTAAAGCTGTTCAATACCACAGACAATACTGCTACCCTACAAAAAGACCTTGACTATGTATAGTCATGGTCTTTTTGATGGCAACTTCAAATCTCAACAAATAAATGCTCTGTCTTACATATTGGCAAAAAAAATCAGAAAATAAAATACAAGCTGAATAGTCAAGATCTTGTTGATGACCCAAGCTCTGTAAAGGACCTTGGAATACTCACCTCTAATGATCTAAGTGCTAGAGCCCACTGCAACTACATAGCCAAAAAGGCATTAAGAGTTGTTAACCTAATCCTACGTAGCTTTTTCTCTGGTAATATCACACTACTAACCAGAGCATACAAAACATTTGCTAGACCAATACTCGAATACAGTTCATCAGTCTGGAACCCACACTACGTATCTGATATTAGCACAATTGAGAAAGTCCAGAAATATTTCACAAGAAGAGTTCTCCACTCCTCTACTCGTTGTAGAATACCTTATGCCACCAGACTTGAAATTCTAGAACTAGAAAACCTTGAATTACGCCGTCTTCGGTCTGACTTAAGCATGGTATATAAAATCATACATTGCAATGTCCTACCTGTCAATGAATACTTCAGCTTCAACCATAACAACACAAGAGCACACAGTAGATACAAACTCAAAGTAAACCGCACCAAACTTGATTGCAGGAAATACGACTTCAGCAATAGAGTGGTCAATGTCTGGAATACTCTACCCGACTCTGTAGTTTCTTCCCCAAACCCCAAAAACTTTAACCTTAGACTGTCTACTATTGACCTCACCCCTTTCCTAAGAGGTCTGTAGGGGGCGTGCATAAGCTCACCAACGTGCCTACCGTCCCTGTCCTATTGTTTCTCTTATTCTTCTTTTATTTTTCTTATATGTACCCATTTCATGTATTCACAACTATGTATACACTTATACTTATTATCTTGTAAACAATTGGCAAATCAAATAAATAAAATAAATAAATAAATAAATAAGTCATTTTTTTCAGTTGTAACTTCGAATGGTCACTAAGCAAACTATTGTAAGTTGAGAACTACCTGGACTAGTCTGTATATTTACAATATATTTCCTAACTGCTAGTTCTTTTACTGTTTGATAGTTGATCCTATAAAGCAGGGCTGTCAAAACTCCTGGCCGGCAGGCCAGATGCGTCACACGCTGGACACGCCCACGCCCGGTTTAGCGAAGGGGGAAAAAAAAGTTCTGACAGGTTACGTGACACAGCCATGATAACGTGAGTTTACACCCCTGCTATAAAGCATATCTATTCCCCACTTTAATATTCTATTATTAAATCTAATAACCTAATATTCTAATTTTACAGTTGTTTGCTACTGTAATTAGTTTGGTCTTCTTTATACTTAATCTTCATCACTGTTTCATACTGAGATGTTTGATTTTCATTGCTAGTAGATTGTTTGCCTTTTTAGCTATCAGAGTAGTGTCATTGGCACAGAGTGGATTATTTAGGCTTATTCCCCCCAATTTTAAATCCATGCTCCTCTTCTTTCTTCCAACCCAGCTTTCCTCAATATATTGTATATTCAGCATATAGGTGGAACAAGCAATGCGAGAGCATGCAGCTTCGTCTCACTCCTTGGGTGACCTAGAACCAGTTTGTTTTGCCATGTTCTATTTAGATGGTGTCTAAAATTGGCTATCTATGTGGTTTTCTTAATAAAATACAGGGATAGCCTTCGTTTGCCTTCTCCCATGCAAGATGTAATGGTCCCTTTGCCATGGTCATTCAAGGGATCACCCACTTCCAGCATTGTCCTACATTGCTACTTCGCTGTAGCAGGGTTGAGGGGATATACCTGGGAGTTGACATGGTTTTGAGGGTCTGGTTATATCTGTTTGTATATCTGTCTGTCTGTGTCTGTCTGTCTGTCTATCTATCATCTATTTATATCATATCTATCTATCATCTATCTACCTGTCATCTATCTATCTATCTACCTATATCTATCTACCTATCATCTACCTATCATCTATCTATCTACCTATCATCTATCTATCTATCATCTATCTATCTATCTATCTATCTATCTATCTATCTATCTATCTATCTATCTATCTCTATCTATCTATCTATCTATCTATCTATCTATCTATCTATCTATCTAATCTATTTATCTATATATCCCCCCTCTCTCTCATCTATCTTCTACCTAGAATCCCTAAATGGTATCACATTGTGACATTTTGCTGCCACCTGCTGAGCATAAACACACATAAAATAGAATATTTGTAGCTCAGAGTTGAAATGAGTGGTGCTCTCTGAGCTTTCTTGTTTTCTTACAGACATTTCATTTTCTAAATAGGTAACATCACCTCATTTGGGTAATGAAATGTCTACAAGAAAACAAGGAAGCTCAGAGAACACCAAGGACCCCTCATAAACACACATTTAGGAGCCTCAGTGGCGCAGTGGTTAGAGTGCAGTACTGCAAGCTACTCCAACTGCAATTTGGCAGATCGAATCCCACCAAGCTCAAGGTTGACTCAGCCTTCCATCCTTCCGAGGTGGGTAAAATGAGGACCCAGATTGTTGGGGGCAATAGGCTGACCCTGTGTCCTCAAGTCAGTTTTTGACTCCTGGCAAGTGCCTGGACTGGTCCCTGTAGTTTTCTGAGCAAGATTTCAGAAGTGGCTTGCTCTTGTTATCTTCCTAGAATTGAGAAAAAAGGGACTGGCCCAAAGTCACCCAGCTGGCTTTGTGCCAATGGTACTAGAACTTACAGTCTCCCTGTTTCTAGCCTGATGCCTTAACCAACCTAAACCAAACTAGGTCCCATGTTACACAGTGGAAATTGCTGACCTTGAATTGGTTCCTTGGATATAGGCACCCAGAGGTTGCTACCTTTCTTCCTTCTTTCCACAATGTAACCTGTAACTGGAGACCCACCATCGTTAGCTGGAGGATTCCAAGTAATGGTAATTGCCTCTTTCGAAACATCAGTAACTTGAGGTTGAGACGCTTGTCCTGGAGGATCTGAAAAAAAAAGTTTAAGCGTGATGAAGCAGAACACAAATAGAAGGAGATTCTTCCATTCCTAATTGCTTTTCTACATAGATCTTTTTACATAGATGCCTGATATAGAAGCAACATTCCAATGGTAAAGATAAAGGTTCCCCTCGCACATACATGTTAGTCATTTCCGACTCTAGGGGGCGGTGCTCATCTCCGTTACAAAGCTGAAGAGCCAGCGCTGTCCGTAGACGTCTCCGTGGTCATGTGGCCGGCATGACTAAATGCCGAAAGTGCACGGAACGCTGTTACCTTCCCACCAGAGTGGTCCCTATTTTTCTACTTGCATTTTTACATGCTTTTGAACTGTTAGGTTGGCAGAAGCTGGGAGAAGTAACGGGAGTTCACTCTTTTATGCGGTGCTAGAGATTCGAGCCACCGAACTGCTGACCTTTCTGATTGACAAGCTCAGCATCTTAGCCACTGAGCCACCATGTCCCTTAAATGTATATAAATAGAAACTTATATAATTTATATAAACTTAGATAACCCTTTAAATGTATCTAAATAGAAATGTATATAAATAGAAATGTATATAAATAGAAACTTGCAAAAATGCCTCCTGAGATAGCCATAATGTCCTAGAGCAGGGGTGTCAAACTCGTGGCCTGCAGGCCGGATGTGTCACATGATGGCCCTGCCCCCGCCTGGTTTAGCGAAGGGGGGGAAAGTCCTGATACGTCACGTGATGCCGCCATGATGCTGCAAGTTTGACCCCTGCCCTAGAGGAACTATAGCACCATAGAATCATAGGATTCCAGATCCAGAAAGGATCATTAGAACAACTGATCCCAATCTTCTGCTCAAATTAAAGCATCCCATACAGATGGGTGCAGGGGTGGGATTCAAATTTTTTAACAACCAGTTCTGTGGGCGTGGCTTAGTTGGTGGGCGTGGCTTGGTGGTCATGTTATTGGCTGGGTGTGGCCAGCTCAATATCTCTCACATTGAGGCATGCATCTCGTCGCTTGGCCTCTCATGACTGTGGGGATGCTGCAACAGTTGTAAGTGTGAAAAATGGTCATAAGTCACTTTTTTCAGTGCCATTGTAACTTTGAATGGTCACTCCACACAAGCAAAGTACCAGCAAAGGAGGGGAAAAAAACTCCAAAGAAGTTCCTGAGACAGGAAGTCTATTCCTGCCAAGAATGTAATAAGGGTTAACAGAGAGGCAGTTTCTGTAAGCAACACCAGAATGTTTCCTTCCTGCCTTCCTGACAGGATTAGGGCAGTAATTCTAACAACTGGTTCTCCGAACTGCTTAGAATGTTAACAACCGGTTCTACCGAATAGGTGTGAATTGGTAGAATCCCACCCCTGGATGGGTGTCTTGTGAAGAGGAGCCCACCA